ACAATGGGTAATAAAGGCACTGTCCAAATAGAATTTCACCTCTGGGATTCTGAAGTTTTGACTCTGGGTTTTTTGACTGTTCTCGGCCTGCTAAATCCTAATCTGCTCTCAAACTATCCAGAAACCGCAAAAAACACTTTCTCGAGGGCTTTTCACGATGGACGAGACATGCTCTGCTGCAGCTGTGAGACCGCTGGATAGGCTTCTGTAGACACTTTCGAAGCAATTTTCTCGCTTCAGAATCCGTCTTTCTTGATGGAACTTGAACTGCTCGGTTTGCCAGGAGCCGGGCTCTCGTACTGCGTCAGGATCCCACCATCTCCCAGTGGATCGACAATGCCTTCAACGCCTGCGTCTGAGGGAGTCGATGCGAGCAGTCCTCACATTTTTCAATGTTCTCAAACTTCCTGCAGCTTTTATATAATAGAAGGCATTTGAACGCTTTTCAGCTTTGATAGTGCTGTTTCACAGGATTTTCAAACAAACCAAATACATCGTAATCGAGACCAATTGCCTTTTGTTGAAGTCTCATTTATAATGAAATGTTTATACTTGGCTTTATTTCGTATTATCAAATCAAAAATAAAGTTTGGGAATTTTAATTTATGCCATCTTCTTTTGATTCGGGAGACGATCACACAGTTGAAGATCATGTTCACTCGCGGATTCATACCATACAATACCGTCTACTTTTTTCTAAAAATAGACGCGAATATCACATAACTCATGCGACGGTCGCATAATTCACGCATAATTCTGGCTTATTGGAAGTGGGGGTACGATATCTTCGACATTCCGTTTCCAGTTTTCTCAAATTCTTCTGCGGGGGTCCTTTCGCGAATATGTGAAGCACCACCTATCCAACACAGAAAATTCCACTGTGTATTGTTCGATAATACTGTTCTTGCAGATTATTGTAAGCTAAAAAGGAGGCTCAAGTTATTCTTATAGGAGATAGAAGCGTTGGTGAATTCTAGAAAAATCACGTGTTTTTAAATTCTACTCGCCATAACTTCCTTCGGAATAAGTATATTTTTAATCCGAAAACAGAGCCGTGCTCAACTCATTAAGGCGAATTTTCCCATATACAGCATGTCCTTGATAATTCGATTTCACTAATCCTGAATTTTTCTGCAGACGTCTCTTCACGAAAGCGTAAAGCAGCGAGTTTGTCCTGAGTAAATTCATGCAAAGACCTTTCGATAGTACTTCTTCTGTAGATTATGATGCGCTGAATAGTAGCCGCAGATTCCTTTTCAAAGGAAATAGAAGGGCTGGTGAATTGCGGAAAAATCTCGTCGTCTCAAATCCTACTCGCCATAGGCCTAGAATACGAAGCTCTCTAAAGCAGATGTGATTATCGTAATCAGCAGGTCGGATAACCTCTATGAGCAAGTTTTCTGAGATGTTCGGGTTATTTCATTTTTTTCGTTTTAGCTCAGGAAGCTCGCCGATGGATTTTGGTCAAAATGTTGATGCTCTTGAATTGTAAGGAAACTTCGCTTACAGAGATCGAACACGCTCTTTACGAAAATCGTGTCTTTGAGGATTACAGGGTCTTTTGGAGAGATAGGGTGAGGTGACTGTAACTGCATCACGAAAGTGCGTAAATTTGGACGCACTCAGAAAACTTGCCTGCTTGTTTTTCTAAGTCAATGCTACTAGGAACTGTGCCATCGAATGGTGCATGACTCAGACTCCAGTCTATAAAAATCGCCAAGTTACGCCTACGAAAACACGTCTTCATGAGTTGACCGTCGCATCACTCAAGCGACCGTCGCGTGAGTTATGCGACATTCGCGTCCATTTTTTAAAGAATGTGAGCGTATTGTATATTAGGTTTGATGCATTTTGCTAAAACGTTTACCAAAATTTGCATTTATTTCTGGTCTTGCTTTGTGACATACTCTTTCTGACTAAGGGAAGCTGATAGTGACTGGATGTTTCTGCGATTAGCTACAGATTCCGATTTTTTAATTCGATTGAGTCTGTTTCATATTGATTTTGCAAAAATATACTATGATATACCTATTTTGGTACACGTAGTAAAGAACATATTCTGTGAATTGAGTTTGCTTGAGCAATTTTGAAGCAATTCTTCTATTTTTTGGTGCAAGAATTGTACATCAACCTAATAACATTACCCGTATGCTTCGAAGCTCGCACTAGCCGCTGAGACAGAGCACGAAAACATCAAACCGTAAACGTTCGCCATCGCGATTTGTTCGCGATGGCTCGAGGAGCATACCAATTTTGGCCCTAATAGGTAAAAATCAGCAATATATTTCATTGAAACTGACCAAAATTGCATTGAGTGTTTGGCAAGTTATGTCTTATTGATATAATTCTTTGTAGGAAGGTAAGAAGGTAGTCTGATTCAGAGGCTGCAAATCTTTGCGAACTTGAAAGGGTTCAAAAATGTGGGAAAACATAAGCATTCTGCTATGTAGTAAATCTAAATAAGGAACTTCTCCTATTTGAGAAACTCTAGACACGTCTTTTGCATCTCGCTTATATGTTTCCAGCTCTTGATAAAGAACGCATATCAAGCTTGTACTACTCAGACAATGGATCGGACCCCTCCGCTGGGCAAGCCGAAACTGCCAGACTCGCGCCGGACCCAATTGACCAATGAGAGCGGGGCAAATGGGCGGTCCCTCGCGTGACATCACTGCCAGGCAAATGGGAGGCTTCTCCGGCCCTGCTGCAAAGGTCCGCCATTTCTCCGGCGCGACCCTGGCAGATTTGCCAGGCTCGCGCCGGACAAATTTGTCCGGCGCGAGCTTGGCAAATCTGGCGGAGTCGCGCCGGAGAAAATCGGAGGGGTCCGGAGCAGAAATGGGAGGTATCCGGAGCAGAAAATGGGGGGTATCCGGAGCAGAAATGGGAGGTCTCCGCCGGAGAAATGGGAGGGCTCCGCCGGACGAATGGGTGACCCACCGCTGGGGAAACGCCGCGACCCTGCCATTTCCCCAGCGGAGGGGTCCGATCCATTGTCTGAGTAACGATATCGCGATTAGTCTGCCAGTGTGGCTCATGATTCAGTTATGACGATACGGCGATTAGAGAGGGCTGTTTGATTTGACAGTTTGATAGATGTCACTATAAACACAAATTGCCCAACGTATACCCTTCGGAGAGTGATATTCTGCACAAAAATAGTGATCCTAACTACACAGGTGGAAACTGGATTGTAATAGCTGTTCCAAGTGATAGTTCATGGCAAGCAGCTGTATGTGCGGAAGTGTTGACAACACCACTGTCGCAATATTGCCTGTGGAGGTACGGTATGGATAGCTTGGCTACACAAGCCGCACCGTTTGATGAACAAATTGTTTACAAAGCACTTCCAGGACAATTTTGAGCAGATTGAAAAGTACAACACTGTAATCGATAATTAGTAATAATTGCAGACGGTTTCTATGAGTTAGATGCCTAATATTGCAGGTATTAGGGCATCTATGTGGAAACGTCAATGCAAGAAATTGAGATATGTCAAATAAGCATGAACATTGAGAAATAAGATAAAGCTAACAAGGAAATGATACTTGGTGTCCGTGGCCTTTTGAAATGAAACGTATACCATCACACCCGTCTTAGAGGGCTGATTCCGAATCTGACTTCCGGTTCTGCTAATCGCTTCGCTAAAAGAAGTTATGAAGGATTTTTGCTTTAATGGTCGCCCAAGAAAAATATGGTCGAGGATTCCTAATTCTAAAAAGAAGCTTGGTGAGGCAATGCAAAACTGAAAAACACAAAAGTAATCGGACCTAAACCTGCATTTACTTGTGAGGCTATCGCACTAGCCTCTACACCACATCGTAGCGGCGATTTTGGCACTCCGACCATATTTCCTTTAGCGCAGAAATCCTTCATAACTTTCATTGAAATGATTAGCAAAAACGGCAGTCAGATTCGGAATCAGCGCTCCAAGACGAGTGTAAAGATATACACCTCATCTCAAAAGGCCACGGACACCGAGTAGCTTTCCCTTGTAAGATCAACGAAGATTGTGGGGAAGATACTGCAAAGGCTGGCGTGTTCAAAGGAGATTCAAATACTTTCTAAATATTGGAATTTGGTTAAAACGAGATAATTAATGGAGTCGCTCACGTGCCGTGTATCCTCGAAAACGTGTTCATTTACAAATATAATAATCGCATATGTTATTTCAGCTCATGGACGACCTGCGATTGCTGTATAAAAGCCAATGTATGTCATTGGGACTCATATTGCCCTTCCTAGGATGAAATTCTTCGTTCTAGAAACGGTAAGGTTCTCGGTGCTTCATAAACTCTTTCGTTTCTCTGAAACACTTCAAGCTAGTTCATTTTCAGTTGTTGCTCCTAGTAGCGACTACGTACGCCCGCGTGCTGGTCCATGTGAGTTGATAGCTTATGGATTAAATCGATAATATCTCTCAGTCAGCGGCCCCCTCCAATTATACCGTATGGCAGGAAAATATGAGTCAAGTGATCATTTGAAAGAGTATGATACCTGAGAGCCCTACCCGAGCTGATTTAGGGCTTTGCATGATCACGAGAGTCTTTGAATTTGCGATTGCATGTGCGTTGAGGTTTCTCGGTTGTCTTTTCCCTTCCAAACGCTTTTCTGTCACCAGATGTTAGCTTCCAATTGCCTGAAACGATTTTGAGAATTACGGAGTATTAAACTGGTTCAAGACATCAAGCATCATGCGTGTGCATTGGCCGCAAAAACTCACCAGCTCTCGCGATCACGTTGAGCCCATAGATGGGAAAATCTCTCAGTTAACTTTATCATACTCAAAATTTGATTCCCTTCTTCATGTTAATTGTTACACGTAGTTAAAAAAAATTCTGTACCGTGAGGATTTACCTTTGTGCAAATTCTTATTTTCAAATTATAAGACTCGAGCGCTTTTTATGCGAGCTTGCATAAAGGCAAAGCATAAGCTCAAGTTGTTGCTTGTGAGTGTAGTCGGTTTTTCAATGTTTCAATTTTTTGACAGTCAGTCATTAATGTGGACCTTCCAGAATGGTCATGGTGTCGTCAAGCCGGAAGCGGTTGTTAAGGTAGGTAACATAATTCTTATTTCATAATCAGTTCGTTCCTTCAATTGTAGCGGTTTAAGTGTATTTTTAGCAAGAACTGCCAAACGAGATCTATTCCAGTGTGGAGGTGATTTATTTCTTTATTTTTTAGCACTGAATTGAGTTCGTGAAGTTTTCACAAGTCATTGGTGATTAGAGTGTTTTGTTTAGGAGGATAGCAGCGACAGCAGTTCTGAATCTGAAGAGGAATATTTGGTTTGTTTTGTACAGTACCACTTCATGATAAGACTTTGTGTGATTAGTAAACTTGGAAAGCAATATCTAGTTAAGCTGCTTGTGACTAGAACAGCGCAAGACAATGAATTGCTGCGTGTTTGCCCCTTTACCTTTTGATATATCTCATACCGTAATTATATGTCGTGCTGAGAAGGAAAATCTTGTTTTTGCAAACGCATGGTTACAACTTAGCATATTCACCGTAATTCGATAGACTAGATACTCTAATAAAATGAAAAATCCTTTGCTTAAAGGATTGTCGCGGTCACGTTCATCTGCGCTTTTCTGGGATAACAATAACACTGACACGATCAAGTTTTATCCCAAGACTTAGAACAGTTTGTGTAAATATTCAACAAACCGAATTTAGGAAGAAATGACCAATGATGTGGATCATGACTGGAGAAGAAAACCGCATTGGGTTGGACCGCTAACAGACAAAATGAAGAAGATTGGTCGCACGGAAAAAGAGCGCTGGAATGGATCTGAAGTTGGAAAAAATGTTAATAAGAAAGCACAGAGGCTCAAAGAAAAGGTCGAAGCAGAGAAAAAACGTTTTTACAAATCTAAATACGGAAAGAGGGCTCAAAAGACAAGAGATAAGCTCATAAAAGAAGCTCGAAAGGCAAAATATCAGTTCGAAGAATCGGAGTTCGGAAATAAAGCTATGAAAGCAAAAGATGCAGCCAAAAGCAAGGCTCTTGAGAAAATGCAGGAATTAAAGGAAAAAAACTTTTTAAAAGGTGCAGTGAGTCTACGCTGTTTTCAGTCTTACTGTGTGAAAAGTATTATTTTACAGGTAAAGCTTCCAAACGAAGTAAGAATGAGTGAGGAAGTATGCTTTTTGTGGTGAGTTCAAATGCCCGATGCTGTTTTTTTAGCCTTAACAACGGCACTGCTTCAATCTTTCATAGAGTTTTTTTATTATAATCAACAACATAAACATTTACAGATTGGAGCACCCATCTACGTTATCAACTCTGTTAAAAAATAAATTTTTAACAAAGCTATGTTGTTTGGCAACTTTCACCTTGTCTTAACAACGTAAATCCAATGGGAGTGAGCACAAGCTTTTGCTTACATGAGTGCAAATAAATTCATGCAATAGCCAGATGTATGCAATAGACCTTTTTTTTGTTTTTTTTTGCTCATTCTCAGGAATAACAAGGATACAGAATGAGGCTATATAGAGTTTCCTATGAGCTATTAATTTTAGCATGTCTTTCCTGAAAAACCATACCTACACACTGGGAATTTATTAAGTTGATTCATAATTAATGCACGTTTTTTGAAATTCGTCTTCAAAGCGTCGCAATTCTTTTCCCACATCATTTTCCAAAGAGCAATAAGGGCTGTTGTAAAGAGCAAATCTTTGGCTTTACAACGTATACTTTTGTTCATAAATAAAGTTGATGAGAAAGTTTGTGCAATCCAAAAAATGCCAGGAATTTTTTTAAAAACCTCCAGTCTGAGAAAGCATAACTTACTTTCAAAGGTAGGAGGAAAGTGCAAACTTTGCTCATAGCGCAGCCAATGGTCAAGAGAGCAGAGGCAAAAAACCCGGATTTGATGCCATTTTTCTACGACGAGATACTGCAAAAAGTTCAAAATTGATCATTTTTCCTAGCTTTTTCAAAAGTGCGAAAAATTAACTTTTTTGAGAGTTTTTAAAATTTTCGCCACTGAAAAGGTGTAAAATCTCACCGTTTTTCTACCACCTAATGTGCTATGTATATTCTTTGTGTACAGGGCAAAATTGCAGCCACTGGTTCTTGTTTCAAAGTTTTATACGAGTTTGAAAGGCCACAATGACAGGCCAAGTTTGTGGTTGAATCTCTCATCTCAGAACTTTTGTAAAATTCTGCTTTATAGACATTTCTATAGCAGAAAGCTTTGTAATTGTTACGCATATTTTTTGGAATCAACATCTTTTGTTCTCATGGAATTAGAGCAAAAAGAATAAATGGAAAGAATTTCAGGTTTTAGTATCTCATATTTCGAAGCGTGGAATTCGGTATCATACAGAGTGCCAGGAAAAAGAAAGGATAAACAAGAAACTAGAAGAAACGCTCTTTCAGATAGCGTTGAAATTTTTGGGAAAGATTCAGTTTTCTTGAAAAACCAGCGCTTGGAAAAAAAGGTGGCAAAAATGCATTATTTATGAATCAACCTAATATTTTCAAAAATAGCTTGAATGTCGCGGAATAATTATAGCTAGATTTTTACATTCAATTGTTTACATAGTTAAAATTCAATTGTCAAAGCTGTGGTAAAAGAAAAAGGCCATGGAACTACTAAACCAGAGCTTATATAGAGTTCAATTTGGGCATGATTTCCTCAGAGACCCAACCCTGTTTTGATTTTTGTGGAAATAAGCAGTTTTAATTTGTACTCAAAGAGCTTTGGTGCAGAAATCAATCCCGTTACGCGATATAAATAGTTTAATTAGGAACTGTTGGATCTATGACTGCACTTGAGTGAGATAAAAGCTTTCTGCCGCTCTGCTTACACCAAACATGTGTTGATGAACAGCTTCGGTGATAAGTGCATAATTCGCTGAGGGAGAGGAGTTGGTCAGAGGAATTTTCTTCGAAAAGGAGAGGGGGAGGGTGAGGGTGAAAGGCAGGGGGAGAAGACAGAAATTCATTTCGGAAGGAGGGGCGTAACATTAGCCGCGACCTCAAAAAAATTTTTGAGATGCTCTTCTTGATCGACTTAGAATTCCGAAATTTTTGAAAAAGGAAACGTGGCAGCTTCTATCAAGTAATTTCAATTCAAATTTAAAGGTTTTCGGAAATTTCAATCATCTGCAGATAGAACAAGTCACTCGCACATGTCCACAACCCATGCAAGTTACAAAATTCATGAAGCATCAAGGTTAAGCCTCTCCCCGGTCGGACATTGGTAAGAGGGTACTGTTTAGATAGCCCAGACCTTCAGGCCTCTCAGACGTTATAACTGTTTTAAGGTGCCTCTTGAATGCCCTTGAATAACAATAGTAAGGGCTAAAGCTTGGGTCGCATAAATTTCATACCTCTAATTCAGCACAAAATAATCAAGATAATTCGAGAAAGCCGGTTTTCTTGGTTCTTTTTAAAGCTGTGTAATTTAACCATAGGCACAACTTTATTCAGTTTCCTTGTATCACCCATGCTTTGAAAACTGCTTTGTTTTACCCTTTTATTTTTTTAATTTCATCTAGACATAGAACTGAATGTTTCAATATTGTATTTGATCATGAGCATTGATGTGATAGTAAGGATTATTTTTTGTAGTAATAAGAATGAACATATGTGACAATGGTACAATCCGGTCCCTCTTGGCATTGAATAGTAAGCTTCTCTTGATTTTTGAGTCACGTAGCTCCGCTGTGCGAATTGTTTGTCCACCGATGTTGTTTTGTTTTCATATAGAGTATTAAGGAAAACTCATGCACAGAAAGAATTACAAAACAGTTGCTGATTCCTACTTAGATCCCATTCAATCGATCAATCATACTTCTAATGCAACGAATTAGGTCGTCGCTCCCAACAAGCTTGTAGAAGGACTTCCTGCTATGAACAATCTCCTCCACATTTTTTCAGAAAGCATCCGGCACACTTTTACGTCTGCTTACGGTTGGCATTGTTGAGAAACGACTCCGTAAACTGAATAAATGGGCGATAAATAGATGAACAAAACAAGTTATAGAAAAAAACTTTGCTTCAGCCCCATAGCAAAGTGGTGTATTTGGGCTGAAATGGCTCTATCGCACTGGATCTTATACAGGGTGGGGCAAAAGTCTGGGAGCCGACTTTGCGGTATTGTGAATCACGAAACTACTGATGAATTGAATTCGGAGTTTGTGCCACATAGTGCTGCGATCATTCTACACAAAGCACACTTTACCAATCTGAAAATGACTGCCATATGTTTTCGTAAGAACTGGATTTATCAAACAACTTCTGTAGAGCAAAAAAATCAAATTCTTTGATATTCACAATTTATTCCGTAGCCAATATTAATGTGAGCCTTCTACAACATTTTGATGCATACAATGTAGAGGAGGCTTTGCGCTATCACATCGTAGTAGCTGCGTTTGCCAGATATATTCGTTCGAAAGCGCAAAATAAAAATCTGCGAATATTATCTGCTTGCCAGTGGTTATTTGTCTTTGAAATAAATTTCTAAGCTATAGAAGCGCAGCAGGTACTAGATTTTAGGCTATATTCTTTCCATGACTCTTCTATACAGAGTGTCCCAAAAAGATGTGCACACTGTTTGATCGTTAATAGCTCTCCTGCTTTCATGTTTTTTGCCGAGCTTAAGGTACCATTTTGTAGAGCGAGGATAAACTTAGATTTACAGTATGGAGCGAGTCACCAATCACTCTTCATTACTGTAGGATCACGGTATGAGTTTTCAGCATACAGCATTACTGTGGAATAAGCCTTTTGATAAATTAATTTCAAAAAATCTAAAAATTTGAGTAGCAAGGTTTTCAGGCGTGCCGATTTCACTACATAACTTTCTATCAGTTTTTCAAGCTTTCCTGATGGCGTATTCACAATTCTGACGAACATTGATAAAAAATAAGTTGTTAGCCTAAATCTTAAATAACCCTTGAAAGAAACAGTGTGCTGACATGCAGCTTTCATATCTAAAATCAGCGACTTCGATCAACCCAGTTCAAGAGTTTCTGACTTGTTTGGTCATCTTTCTGAGGTAAAATACCGTTTTCAATGGCTTAAATCCTCCTCGAGTTCCTACCGTAATCCTACAGTACTGAATGGCGGTCGATGAATCGCTCCACACTGCAGATCTAAGTTGAACCTCGCTCTACAGAATGGTACCTCAAGCTTGGCAGAACACATGAAAGCAAGCGAGTTATTTACGATCAAACAGTGTGCACATCTTTTTGGGACACCCTGTATAAGAAGCTATTTGAATTCGATCGATGGAGCAATTTCAACACTTTTTGGATTATGATTTTTCGCTCCTGTTCGAGCAATCGCATCCAAATTTCCAGTATGCGAATACATTTACCTTCACTCAAAATTCTGGAATTCTTTTCTAAATAGTACAAAAAAATCCCTAGGTAATATATTCTAGCAAAAAGCTTGCTCTATCATACTGCATATTTGCCTATGAAGAATTGATTATCGTGAAGGCGTGGGACGAATTCCATCACGGCTACCTGCGTGCCACGACAGATGGACTCGCAAAGATTTCGAAGGGCTGCTTTGAACCCAAAAGAGGCAAATACAAAATTCGAGAGCTGCGCTTTATTTGTAAAGGTTCCATTTATATGTGCACCAAACTTTTGTTTCTAGGCATTTTCCTCCTTATTTTATCTGGAAAAATATAAGGCTCCCAGACTTTTGCCCCACCCTGTAGTTCCCCTCCGATAAAAAAACGTTTGGTAATTATTTGTGCAAATATAAGCTGGACCATTTTTACAATATAACAGCAGAAGTGCCACGAAAGCTGTTGAGACAACGGAGCTAATGATTGAACATTTTGCCCTTTCTTGTGACACGCTGCATACTTGCCTTGAAGAGTTTTTCAAGGCAAAAGTGTATGCTTTCGCCTTGTTAAAGCAGCTCAAAGGCAGCGGCTTGGCAGCATGACAACTTTGGGATATTCATCGTTCTCGGTTCCCCTGGATGAGCTAAGTCCAAGACTTGCATTGTAGCTTTAAAAGAGATCAAGAACCCGCTTTTCCAAACATGAAAAGGCTATTTGGGCGGACGGCGTATGCCTACCCTCTAGAGCGCGATGGCTCGGTGGAGACACCGTACCCAGCAACTGGATAATCGGCTCCAGCAGCCACATTCGCGACACGTTAAACAACACTTTTCATATTTGGAAAAT